TCTAGCGAAAATTCAGTGAATAATTGTTGGTTTTGCATTGGTGATTGTTGGTTTTGCATCGGAGTCTGTTGATTTTGCAAACGAGTCTGTTGATTTTGTTTTTAAGGTTGTCTGTTTTGTATTTCATTATGTTTATAAAATTAGTTGTTAGTTTTGCATAAACGTCTTTTTTACCCTTTCCGCCGCCCATAGGAAAGGGCGGGTCACTATGGGATACTAGTATTCAAGTTTTACATTGGAATATAGCTATTTAAAAAAAATCTTCTACTCAAGTACCAATTGGCCAGAAAAGCTTATATGGAAGCATCCTGGGATAGTGTGGATTCTAAATTGTTGAAATATTACAACAGGGGTAAGGTGGAGGCAGGGCACTATTATAAAGTCACGGTGGGGAATCTCGTAGAGAACAAATCACTAAGGTAAGCGATGTGGCCCATTGGCCTCTTGTTACAGTCTTAAAATGCTTTAAGTGTATACATTTTCATTTCGATGCTCCCCTACCACCTAACTTCTAAAAAATTAAGGTCAATTGGAAAATTTCAGGTTTAGGAAATAATGTACCATATTGTAGGAGAAAGATCCGGCTTTTTGTGTAGGGGAGGGGGGGGGGCAGCTTTTTTAGCAGGTTAACCCCACCCCATAAAATATTTGCTGCGGAACTGCTCTCGTTCCTAAAATGTCATTTATTCTCTACTCTAACTTGATCCAACGCACTTTTGAGGAACTTCACTTTAAACCTAACAAATAATTTTCTCTGATTCATAAAAGATTTTCAGAGAAAATAATCCAAAATTAAATACACCTGTTAGATAACAAAATAAAAAAAATGTTGAGATAGATTTAATATAATTGAGATGTTACACTTCATGTTTATCGCCTCATAGGCACTTCGCTCGCCTTGCCCCCCCCCCCCCCCCTCATCCTCTTTCTCCAGGGGTCCACTCCAGTCAAAAAGAAATTTCCAACCCCGAAATTCTTTGACAAGCAAAGAAAATCAATATAGAAATTTAGAAAAACGTAAACTCATTTTCCAAACATGAAAAGTCGACTTGGGATAACTATTTCACATGGAACTGTCTTTTCGAAGAGGGGTCCGCGTTTTTTAAGGGGGTCCAAACTCACTTTTTTGGTTTAATATAATAATACATTCAATATTATACATTTATTGACTGAGTTCGAGGGCAACATGCGTTTTGTCGGACCCAAGAACCAAACTGTCTGCCTGAGGCCGTTAGGCCGAAGGCAGACAGTTTGGTTCGAGGGTCCGACAAAACGCATTTTGCCCGAGAACTCTGTCAATAAATGTTTTGTTATACCTTTCATTTTATTTTAATTTTTTTGATATACATGTATTTTGTGCTGTATTCCGTGTTGTAACATCAGATCTGTCACTGTTTAACACCAACGAATGAAAATCGGATTAAGCTCCGCCCATTCTGTGACGTAAGTGGTCCAACATCTCTCCGAGCGGTCCAACATCTCACGCAGCGGTCCAACATCGATTTTTTTATGCCCGCTCAGCAAAACATTAAAAATGTTGGACTTTTTTTCGTATAGATTTGTATAAGAACTTATTTTTAAAGGTATAACAATAAAATTTACTTTGACATTTCGGTATACTTTATGCAAAATCTCTACAATTTACAACAAAGAGACTGTCTAGTATGTGTCTATATAAATAGCATACAAACACTGAAGAGGGCAAAAAGGATAATTTTTTCATACTTTATAAAAATTTTCGATATGAATGGGTCTCGCTCCATTTTTTTTGAAAGATAATCCTAAAAGTTTGTAATAAAACATGTATATTTTTTCGTTACAAAAATATGGCGCAAAGACCCACTACACTTTTATGACAACACATTCGCATTTTCCAGGGAATAGCTGAAGTCCATGTATTCAATGGTCATATCACAAACATGATGTTAATAATGTCAAATATCACAATGAGATGTGTAGCGTAGTGGTTATCATGTTAGTCTCATAGCAAAATTATTCATATAATTTTTTGATAAGAAATTAAAAAAAAATTAAAGATTTTTTTTTATCATGATTTCATAAAGGAGATGGGCGCATTTGTACAAAACATTTTCTTAAATGTCCATGATTTAGTTGGCTGAACATAGCTGGTCAGATTTTACAAACACGTCCATAGTTTTTTCTTTGTCCCCTGCTTGAAAAGTGAGGGATGTTAATATGGGTTTGTCCATCCGTCTTTCTGTCTGTCTGTTTGTAACGCTTTCGTTTCCACGCGATATCTCGGGAACCCTTTGAGCTTTTGCAATGAAATTTAGTATAGCAACTCCCTATGGACTAATGAATAATGAATGTTGATTTTGAGGTCAAAAGGTCAAAGGTCATAAATAAGCAAATTCTGTCTGTTATAACACTTTCGTTTCCACACGATATCTCTAGAACCATTTTAGCTATTGCGCTTAAATTTTACTTAACACCTCCCTGTGGCCAAATGAAGACCCCTATTGATTTTTAGGTCAAAAGGTCAAAGTTCAAGGTCTTAAATTGATACATTCTGTCTGTGTGTAACATTATCATTTTCGGGCTATATTTCAAGAAAGATTTATGCAATGTAATTTTATACCAAAACTCACTAGGACCTCTCTCACCCCTCTCAAAGTGCCCCGCCCTGTTTGTTATACATGTATTAGTATTTATAGTATAACATGTCGCTATTTTTAGCACAGGGGCATGAGGAGAGTCATTGCGTATGAAACAGGTTCTCGGCGGACTTTATGTTCTTATTACATCTGTTAGAACTGTTTAATAAAGGCTAAATATATCAAACACCATGGATTGTGTAAAATTTTGACAATACCGAACATGAATACTCAGCTACTTACTCTCAGCCATGAATTATTGGAGAATTTACACTCAAACACTCAAACTGATTTTATTATACTAGACTTCTCAAAGGCATTTGATAAGGTGCCTCACCAGAAGTTGCTGAGGAAGTTGGATAATTATTGGATACGCGGTAACACCTGGATATGGGTCTCTGCTTTTCTCAGCAACAGAGTTCAACAGGTTGTCCTTGATGGTGAGGTATCCAGTCCAATGCCTGTGGTCAGCGGGATTCCGCAAGGGTCAGTCCTTGGGCCCCTTCTATTTTTAATCTTTATAAATGACCTACCATCTTCTGTTACATCAAATACAAGGCTCTTTGCCGATGACTGTATCTTGTATCGACCCATTCATAATCAAAATGACTGTGTAATTCTTCAAAAAGATCTTGACTCGTTAGCTAATTGGGAACATATCTGAGGAATGCAATTTCATCCTCAAAAATGTAATTCACTCAGTATTACCAGATCTCGCACACCAGCAACATATACCTATAATCTGAAAGGACACACATTAGAATCTATAAAGACAGCAAAATATCTAAGGGTAACATTATCCTACAACATGTCCTGGGAACCGCATATTAATATAACTTCTAAGGCAAATAAGATACTGGGTTTTCTAAAAAGAAATTTGCAGGTAAAAATTGAAGAAACAAAATCTTTGGCTTATAAATCAGGTCAGGTCTAACCTCGAATACTGTTCTTCAGTTTGGGCACCTCATACCAAAAAAAAAGATAAACTAGAAAATGTTCAAAGACGAGCTGCAAGCAGGGGCGTAGCCAGAGTACCTTTGATACGGACGCCTGAATAGGCGAAGATAAGGGGGCCGCCTTAGGGCCCCCAATGGTAGATAGTCGGAAGTCCTGATGGGGGCCCAGGGGACGAAGCCCCGGAAGCTGGTGAATTTTCAACGATTTTGACAATCTCCCATGCAGAGTTGTCGTTCTTTCCTATCTCATACATGTATGAGCCGATGGTAGAGAGTGCGATTTTGATGTGCAAATTTGACCCTTCTGATAGCATTTTTCTGACACTTTTTCAGTTTGTTAAGCAGCCACATTTGAGGCATGTTCTTTCCTTGTACATGTTGTACAAATGCGGACAAACAATCAAAATGAGAAAGGATATGTCCAAAAGTGTTGTTTTACGAACCCACTAAAACACGGGGTATAGGCGTAACGGACCCTTTTCGTTGTAACGGATACTTTCAGAGAAATTAACGGATACTTTCAGCTCAATTTCTACAATAAAAAATGGAGTCCTCAACAAAAAAGGACTCGTGCAGACAAAGGAAACGGTAAGTTTATCAAATAATGTTTCTACGGAATATAAGTGATGTTAATCTTCACCATGAACATAATGTTTATTGCTATGTTTCCGTTGCTTTAGCTCAATTAGCCTTTTAATTTGATCAAATTTGTCTACACATGAACGGAGTCCGTTTTAACTAAACCGGCGGTATCATAATGTAAGATAAACGTATAGATAATATCTTGTGAATGCAACAAACCAACCAATGTTAATGAATCATGAAACAATGCAGTAATTCCAATAAAAAGCCCCTTACTTTTTTTATGGAACGGACCCTCTTTGACATACGGCATTTCTGGCACCGGACCCTTTCAGTTTAATTTCTTAAATATTGAAGATACCTTGAAACTTTTACAATTTTCTTACAGAAAGAAAAAAATGTCAACACTGTGGTTGAATAAACCCTAAAAAACGAAAATACAACTCTACGTCAATTATACATACACCAGAGAATCCTGGAATAAACCATGAGTGGCAAGATATTTGTAATGCTCCAAGAAAACGAAAGAAAAGAAAAAAGAAAGGCAAAAGATGTCTTTTTGACGAAACGTTTGAACAGACAGTGAAGACCATCCAAGAAATGGTACCAAGTATAGTTAATAATTTACAGAAAGATGGATTACTGGCAGATTTTATAAGTCTTCTAAGGCTTATCAAAGATGGCAAATTTTCCTTCCAAAATATTTCATTTCGACTAATGTTAGGGGAACTGTTTTGCACACATTTTTTAATTACCTGTACTTAAAATGTGTGCAAAACGGGAACAAACCGCGAGATGGTATTATCTTGAGTCCCCTGATCAAATGTTTTATTCGGAGGAGACAAAAATGTTTTGGAAAGTGTTATATCGTCTTTTCCATGCCAAGGTACTAAGATTTATGTCAGGAAAATCACATGATTCATGTCCGCTGAAAACCGAAATTGACGGAATCGGGGCCATTGATTGGTTTTCTTACCCGGAGTTCAATGAGAAACGTCAAAAACTGGAACCGAAATGTGTGGATGCACATCACTTGCTTTTTAATTTGAGATCAAAGGTGTGCAAGGAAGGATTGCAGAATATTAATAAGAACGCTTGGGTAGCTGTTGCAGAGTATGACAGAGATGTAATTAGCAAAAGTCTTGTAGTCGATCTAATAGACAAGCAAAACAATGCTTTTGCAAAGCGTACTTTTTCAGTTGAGGTTGAGACTGTTATGAGAAACCTTGGGTACTCAAACGAGGCTGATTTTTGTAAACTAGTGAGAGACTGGTATGAAGCCGAAGACTCCCCGGGAATCTCAGCAAAAGTGCGTGTTGAAAATAAAATTCGTTTGAAAGAGTACTTGTTAAAGGATGTTGATTTTGGAAAGTTTCCAGGGTATGGAATGTATATTAAAGGTTTTCCCAAAGGCATGTTTGAGAGCTTTATTCAAAGAATAGACACTACACTTCAGCTTTATGACATAATTCCTACAGGAACTTTTAATCAAAGAGCTGTGTCAAGTCTTGTAAATGAGACATTTTTCGGCGAGCTGGCTGAAATGGAACCAACGCACTTAGGGTGTCCTAAGGCAGTTCAGATACCTAGATTAATGTCTATAGTTGCTGAACTACTACATTACAGATGTTGTCCTAACGAAAGGTAATTGTTACACAATTAACTTCATTAAATTCATCAACACATCGTATAAAAATTCCAACTTAAGTACTTAGTAACTTTTTATTTTGCAAATTTTATTGAAATAACCTCTCAAGTTAACAAAAATATAGACTAGGATTTTTGAGTACATCCACAACCTAATGATTAATTATTTTTTTATTCATTCATCATTGCGCATAGGTCATTTAAGATGTCTACGACTAGAAAATCCGTATATCCTGTTCAAAAATTCAATAATGTTCCAAGTACAAGCAACGTAAACGACAATCAGTCCTTAGAGGAAGCCATTATTCTCAGGTAATTCGTAATAGTTAAATCATATTACTTGTAAGTAAAATTTTAGTGGTTAAGAAGGGGCGGAGGGAGCGAAGCGACCGAGCCTTTCTTAACCACTAAAATTTTACTTAATATGATCTAACTTACTTAGAACCTATTTTGATTGGCTAATAAGTCAGCGTGCGGAGTTACTGCATAGACATAAAATCTTAACAATTAAGTGATCTACTTAATAGAAAATTTAGCAGCTGCTGATTGGAGGAAAAAGTGGTTTAGGTTCTAAATCAATATAAAGCAGACAAGTGTATTTTTTATACTTTGATAATTCAATAATACTTTAAGTATTAATATTATTAAAAGTCCGACTTGTGCTTCCAGAGACCACAAATTTGATATGCCAAGTAGAGGGAGAAGAAAACAACGAATTAGCAAACGCTCAGATGTTACGAAACCAGGCGAGGTTACTCGGGGCTGTCTACCTGTTAGACAACTTCACAAAAGTGATGAAAGCAAAATTTTGGCAACAAGAAGACTTGGGATTGAACATTTATCAGAAAACTAATCTTGCAAAGTACAAAATAACACTGAAGATCAAAATGACCTCACTTATTGCAGAACTTTTATTAATTTCATAAATTTGTGTATCTATGTACTGATTAAAAAAGTATATGTAAAGCAAACTTATTATTAAAAAAAATAAATGTTTCTGAAGTCTACCGGTACATTATTTCACAAAAATCTCACTGATGCCCAGTCTTTTTGGCATGCTTGTAAAGAGAAGCCCTATATTTAAAAAAATCACCACATGTAGAGCACTGAAATCTTTCAGGGTTGTTGTGGCCGAGTAAATGTTCTTTCAGATATCTTTTACTTTTGAATTTTTTGCTACATAAATCACAAGTGTACTTAATCTCACCTATTTTGCAAGTCTCTAAATGTCTCTTTACATTTCTTTAACTTGAAAAAAGTTTGTTACATTTACTGCAGTTGTCAAGTTTTTTGCACTTTGTTATACCTTTAAAAATTTGTTCCTATACAAATCTATACAGAAAAAAGTCTAACACTTTTAATGTTTTGCTGAGCGGGCATAAAAAAATCGATGTTTGACCGCTGAGTGAGATGTTGGACCGCTCGGAGAGATGTTGGACCGCTTACGTCACAGAATGGGCGGAGCTTAATCTCATTTTCATTCTTTGATTTAAACAGTGACAGATCTAATGTTACATTACGTAATATAGTACAAAATACATGTATGTCAAAAAATATAAAATAAAATGAAAGGTATAACAAAACATTTATTGACAGAGTTCTCGGACAAAATGCGTTTTGTCAGACCCTCGAACCAAACTGTCTGCCATCAGCCTAACGGCCTCAGGCAGACAGTTTGGTTCTTTGGTCCGACAAAACGCATGTTGCCCTCGAACTCAGTCAATAAATGTATAATGTTTCGCTTCATGCTGATCAACATCGTTTTTATAATTGAATCCTTTTCCACAGACACGACACAAATATTTGAATCGATTTCGGTGGCTCCTGACATGATTGCTATACCCTAACTTTGATTTAAATGTTTTGGTACAAATGTCACAGACATGGACAAATGTCGAATGTTTCAATTTCCTATGTATTTTTAAGTCATATTCCGTGAAAAATGCTTGGAAGGACAGAAGTCACATCTCCACATTTTTTCCTTCATGAAGTCTAGAATGTCTCTTTAGGGATGATTTTGTTTTGAATGTTTTATCACAAACATTACACACTGTACTTGGAACATTCTCCCCATGATTTTCAAAAACTGTCTAAAAAATAAATTCATAATAAAATCATTCGTGATATACAGAGTATAATTATTTCATTAAATAGTTTCTGCAGTATTGCATTATTTTTCCCATTTTCACTTGCATTTCAATTGACACTTACTTTCAAGGGACTGCTCTCTGGTTCTCCTAAAGCAGAATGTATAGGGAAACATCTCAGCTCCAAGGAATCTTCAAACTAAAAAAATGTAACAAGTTTCCTAATATTTTAATCACATATATACTAATGTAACATGTATAACAATGTTAGACTTTTTTTGCAAATACTTTCTTTTAAAAATATAAATAAGGAGAAACAAGTTTAAAGTTGTGTGTAAGTTTTGAGATAAAAAAATGTGTGTCTTTAAAAAGGCTTTAATTCAAACATTTACATCATTAGTAAGTATTTTAAGAAATTTTAAGGCTCTTATTAAGTATGCAAGAAAAGTTCTGTAGTGAAGTTTCATAGAAGATCAAAGTATTTATTATAATTAACTGTAGTAAACTATCACACTTTTACGTTGGGGGTAGATTACCTGTTTAAAGTTTGGGGTGAGTGCAAATCTTCTGTTGTATTTTCACTTACATGTACATTAATTCACATAACATAAAAACATGGGTCTAAATCAAATCATCTGTCAATAAGTAACAGAATGAGAAATAAAATGTTTTTTTTTAAAAAAAAAAAAAGACTACATAACATAAAAAATAACACTTCTTTCAACTTTTAAATTGTACTAGAGCAGGTATTGCCCCCCCCCCCCCTTCTATAAATATCAATAATCAAATTGCTTGTTCATTACATTTTTATTTCATATAATGGAACATTGGTGTTATATGGTGTTATATGATAGTGCAAGACCTAACCCATTTTAGACTTTTAAAAAAGGGAGGAGTGCAAATTATGTGAATTAAGTTTTTTTGGAGACTAAACTTTGATTTCACCCTCTATTCTTATACTGTCGGGGGGGGGGGGGGTGTTAGACTCTGCTTCTTTATTTTTTCTCAACACAACTCCTAAGAATTATTTATTAATACTAATCATAACAAAAAAAAAAACGTTTGGAAAATGGTCATGATGTATGAGTAAAAGTACAATTTGACAAATTTATGTTAACAGCAACAATTGTCAATACGAAATAAAACCCATAACACAAATGAATACGACATTTTAACTGATAATCATGATAATTGGTACAACAAACTTACTAGCTGCAGAACTGTAGCTCTCTGCTGGAGAAAATTCGGACAGATAAAGCAGAGAGCTACAGATCCAAGCGTTGTAAAAACCTTCGATTTACGCCGACGATTTTTTGTCACTCACTATGGGTATTTTTTCGTTTATTTTATACTTTCCCCAGTTTTAAAAATAATTTTAAATGGTATTTAATAATTAATCGTACATTCAACTTCAACTTCTGATCATTTACTTATTTACCTCTCAACGCTAACAAATGGCTGTTTGTGGTTACGGACGTCGAATTGGAACTCTTTTAAACCGACATTACAAAACTGTTTACAGGACTGTTTCGGACCGTTAAACAGGTTGGAGAGAATACTCGAAATCGGGTATTATCCTTGAAATCGCGTATAATACTCGATATTAGGGTATCGTTGAATCCGTGAAATCGGGTATTCCGTGCAACTTTCTATGAAAACAAAAGAATAAAGCAACGGCGCATTATGCCACTTACTGTTACTTGTACATCAGTATCTTGGGGATTTGCTTTTATGACATCTAATTTATATGGATGTCAAATAAATTCAAAATCACACGACAAACAATGCTGGGGTAACAAAGAAGAAACGATGGCGTTATTTTTTTTTTCAAAATAATTTCTAAAAACAAATAAGTACACTTTGTTTGTCTTTTTTCCCAATTAAGTATTCCATAAACTTATTAATTTTCTAAGTTGTGTACTATTCACAAAATGTGAAACTTTATTAAAAGAAATCAAACGACTAACGCTGTGTTATGTATTTTTACAGAAAAATGTATGGCGTCCCTTTCACGTGAAATATAAATTATTCCTTCAGTTGGAAAGCATAGGCGTCGGAACCGAAATACAAATACATACTTACTATAGACATTGAACCTTGTTTCGTAGGTTTTAGCCCCCCCCCCCCACTTTCCACAGGCACCTCGCAGTATAGGTTAAAAATGGGTAAAGTTTTGGTGTTTGGAAAAAAAAGTTAGGTAGGTTTTGAAGGTAAAAAAAATATTACACTTAGCCCCCCCCCCCTCCACTTTCAATTTGCTTCGACGCAAATGGAAAGTACAGTATAAGGGAGTCATAATTGTATATCTCGGCCGTAATAGAATACCAACGTTATTATCAAAAGTATCCTATTGTTTATTTATTCCTTAAGTCATATGACTTATCAGATAACATAATTACAAGATACAGGATGTAAAGCACACAATTAATATACATAAATGAAATATTTACATATACTTCTTTTGAATTAATACTGCTTGTTGCATACAATATTTCCAACAAAACATGGAAAAACTCAATTTACAGATGTAAATCCCTAATTGCCTCTGCTTTTTGGAGGAATTTCCCTATATTACAAAGTTCACTCACATTTTCAGTTGATAAAAATTGTAATAGTTTATACATGCTAGGTCTATACCAATAATACTTTTTAATATACAATTTTCTGTATTCAAGATAAAGTGGACATTTTAAAATTAAATGATACTCATCTTCAACCTCCATCTGACAACAAAAACAAAATCTATTCTCCCTAGGAATATGAGTAAATCTTCCCTTCTCAATCATTAATAAATGTGCACTTAATCTATATTTTGTAATCAATTGAATATACATGGATGGAATTGGTTTCATTAAATAGGATTGCATGCACAGTCTATTTGTTAAATATCTATACACAAAGCACTTTGAAGACGAAGAAAAAAAAGCATCACATTCTTGTTGAAAACAGTCAGTTAATCTTTGTTTGAAAGTTTTTAAAAATATATTTTTGTTTGTAATATTTTGACAATACCAAACGTCTCCAAATCCTACTGAAAATAATAAGTATTTTACATTAAGTAACCAATTATATCTTGTACAAGAATTTGTCTCAATTCTTTCAAGCATATCTTGATAAATACTTTTCAATATACAGTTTTCTGACTCCAATAGTTTTAGCCAAAACTTTATAATACGAACTTTTCTTTGAATAAAGAGAGGTAAGCGACCAAGTTCATTATAAATCATCAATGACGATGTATTTCTTCTCACTTTCAACATAATTTTGAGATATTCTAAATGTATTTTCTCTATAGCATCACCGTTATGGAATCCCCATATTTCACTTGCATAATTCAAAATACTACTTACATAAGTATCAAACAAAGACAGACGAGTAACATAATTAAAATGCACATTTTTCATAGACTTCAAAAGTTTAAACATACATTTCCTCCCCTGAGTAGCCAATTTTAACTGAGCTTTATGAAAATTACCTGTGTATGTCAGGGTGAGACCAAGATAAGTAAACTGATTAACAGCTTCAACTTCCTCATCATTATAAAACCATTTAATATTTGGATTCAATCGACCAGACTTTCTAAATACTACTATTTTAGTTTTACTTACATTTACAGATAATTTCCAATCATTACAATATGAGTAAAGCACATCAAGCATTTTTTGTAATCCCTCAGGAGAATCGGAAAACAATACCATATAAAGAAGAAAATAAAATTAAATTAAATAAACACAAACGGGAAAACAGGTTCAAAATAATTAATTTA